TATCTCAGAGTGTTTATGGTGGTTCTGTCTCAGGTTCGGGCCATGCGCTCTCACATCACAGCTGCCTCACAGCAGCATTCAGGGAAAATAATCATTAAGAAATCTGAGCTGAAGGCAGCCGGGACTCTGGGGGTTGTTGTTGTTATTTTCCTGTCATGTGTTTTCCCATATTACTGTGTGGCAATAACAAGTAAAAGCACCTCCCTAAATGTTTCATCCATCGGCTTTGAAATCTACATTATGTATATGAATTCTTTATTCAACCCTCTGATCTATGCCCTTTTCTACCCCTGGTTTAGAAAATCCATTAAACTTATAATTACATTTCGATTATTGATGCATGGTTCCAGAGATGCCAACATACAGAGAACTGACACTAACGAGGGACGTTAAAAAAATCTGCAGGTTAAAATTCACAAACACTGTTGGAAATATTCATTACTCTTACAAGAACATTTTTAGTGAAATTTACAATCATGTCCCTTTGCTATTTTTTTCTTTCCCCTAATGAGTCTGACATCACCTGTCAGGCCACACATCTTTGTTCCTTTTTCATATTGCACAGTATTTTTTATTTTGATTGATTTATAGTTGTAAACTAAGTTATATCACCGTGAATGGAAGCATCACATATAAGCTCCATCAAAGTCTGTTAGACTCTTAATAGTTTATAAAAAAGGAAATTAAAAAGGCAGTATGTAATTATTTTACAACTATTTTTTATCACTTCTATATTTCCTGTTAGAAATGGAACTGTACCATGACCTGTACTATTGAATGTGATTTTATTTTAGTAAATGAGAACAAATAAAAAAAGGAATCATCACTGTTGGAGGACCCTTACTCAGCTGGTTAATCTCAATAAAAGAAATAATTTTTTTTTTTAAATATGTTAAAAACCCTTTAAGTAAACACTTATTTGTAGCAATCATCAAGTCATATTGAGGAAATAATTATAGAAGTCACAAGGTGATAATTCTGTTTTTGTCCCCGCCCTTTCATTTCTTCAATCAGTTTCCATCTGTCTAACAGAATCTGACAGATCATCTTAAGAAGAGGTCAGGTCATTGGGCATGAATACATTTCCTCTAAATATAGACTGACTGAGAAATAGAGAGTCTGATTGAGGTCTTTGTAACCTATGTAATAATTTTTAAGTCAGACAAAAAATAGGAATCTTAAGATGACAGAGTACAGCAATGCACAAAGAAGAGTGTTGATTACTTTAAAAGAGTAAATGTTAAGATATTTAAGAATATCATACCCCAAAAATACATTCACCCTTACAATTCAGTTGAGTTTAAGACCCATTTTTTGATAATAAATTCTTTATGTTAAAAAAATTAATTTACAGGCATGATAAATTGCTCAGGTTTGTTATTAGAAAGAACAAAAAATGTTGGATTATCTTTTAAAAACAAGCAGCATAAGAAATGCATGTGCTTCATTTTACTCACAAGTCCTTTCAGTTAGTGGAAGTTAATGATCACTGGTGTTAGCTTCCATGTTACGGCTGTTTGGAGTACATCAGGGTGAAACTGCCACTGGTCTAAGGACATAAACAATATACAGAAAATACATCTCAGTTCAGTGTCCATTAAAACTCTCTGTTTAGTTAAAGAAATTCACCTTTACAAGCAGGGCTGCATTTATTCAGCGCTAAAATGCTAACATGCTAACTCGCGATTAGCATTTAACCCTATTTTTACATTTCGTCTCAGTATAAATATCATATACATCAAGTACTCACTCATCACAGGTTTACACAGTCTCAAACAGGAACTTAGGCTTTGAATTCATGAGTATTTTACGACCGTTTTCACCGTAGCTTATTTTCCCGCCTCTTTCCAAAAAGTCCTGCAACCAATGGCAAAGGAGGTTTTACAATGTGTCACTTAAATCCCGCCCCCTGCACCTGATTAGAGGTTTGGTTGAAATCAGCCAATATTATTTAAGAGAATACTAGACTTAACCAACACAACAATCCGGTTGTGAGGGCTCCGTTTTTAAACCTACAATTCACACAAGCTTGTTAAAAACACTATTTTACACAAATTAATCACAAAACCATAGTTTGACAGAACTTTTTACACTCTTTATGAAACATATATTGACTAGTTTTTATTTGTGATTTTAACCATGTGTTAGCCAGTTAATTTGTTTTTGATATATTTAGAACATGTTTACAATTACTTACTCAAAAGCTGCTATTCACATTTTAATATGTATAGTCCGAAGTGAGAACTTTAAACTGGACTATGCAATTATTTCACAATTGAAATAATTCCTTATTGATCTATTTCAGTCTTATATTATAAAAACATGTAAACTGTGCTGTAAGCATTGGTGTTCTTGTTAGATTCACACTTTCCATTTCAGTCATAAATGATTTGCCAGCACATACTTGAGGTCAACCATAATCTCACCATGTTCTCCCTTTAGTAGAGTTTGAGCCTCAGTGAGCCCCAGTATCACAGCCATTTTAGCCACCTGGTACCTTTCAGCTGCTTTAAGTAAAACCTCTAAACAAAAACCAAACTAAGTATTTTCACTGCCTGGTAATCCATTAAAGTGCACTCTGAAGGTCAAATCTTGGTAATTTTCTGAGTTATTTTCTTCTTAATTGCTCTTTGGTTTTCTGAGTTTATTTGAGTGTAGGAAATGTTTCTTCTCTTTTTAGTTGTTTGATATTCATGTTTACCAGAACGTGTCTCAACCACAGAACTATCCATGGCAACATAACAGGAGGGATGGATCTTTGTCTCTATGAAACACTCAGTGTTACAGCAGCAAACTACTCTATAAAACACTGAGATGTTCAAGGAACGCTGTCAGTGATGATCAGCTCCCCATGATGGATGGAGCTGAACTCTGCTTTCCAGAACTCCTGAACAGCTCCTGCAGGAAGATAACATATCCTCCCTCAACATCCGTGCTCATCTTCATCGGTATGTCCTTCTTCTCTCTGCTCACTGTGACTCTGAACCTGCTGGTCATCATCTCCATCTCACACTTCAGGTAAATCCTTCTTTTAAAACATTTTTAAATGGATTGTTGTCTGATCAAATGGTTTGTTGTTTTTAATTTTATGTTTAGTAATCACTACTTTACTCTACTTTACCTGCATTTTTTATTAATGTTCACCCTGTATCTTAAGTGTCCCACAGCAAATTTCCTCGTATTAAATAAAGGTTTTTGAATCGTGAATGTTTTGGTTTGTTAGACATGGGTCTTATTTGTTTCCCCAAAGATCCTGACCCTTTCTCTGCTTCCTCTCCAGGCAGCTCCACACTCCCACCAACCTCCTCCTCCTCTCTCTGGCTGTCTCAGACTTTCTTGTGGGCCTTCTCATCCTCAGTCAGATCATGTCATTAAACGGTTGTTGGTATCTTGGTGACCTGATGTGTGTTTTGTGTTTTCTCCTGAACCTAATAATTACCTCTGCCTCAGTAGGAACCATGGTGCTCATATCAGCTGACCGTTATGTGGCGATCTGTGATCCCCTTCATTATCCAACCAAAGTCACCTCAAAAAGAGTTTCTGTCTGTGTTTCTCTGTGTTGGATCTCCACTTTCGTCCATTTTTCGGTTATTATAAGAGATAACCTGAAACATCCAGGCAGGTTCAAATCCTGCTCTGGAGAATGTGCGATTTATGTGGGTTTTATTGAAAATGTGTCAGATCTAATTCTGTCCTTCATAGCTCCAGTTTCCACCATCATATGTCTATATCTCAGAGTGTTTATGGTGGTTCTGTCTCAGGTTCGGGCCATGCG